CCCGCGCATGCGTTTAGCGGCCTCGCGCACCTGTGTCCCGCGCATGCGCTTTGCTGTCTCGCGCACCTGTGCCCCGCGCATGCGTTTAGCGGCCTCGCGCACCTGTGTCCCGCGCATGCGCTTTGCTGTCTCGCGCACCTGTGCCCCGCGCATGCGTTTAGCGGCCTCGCGCACCTGTGCCCCGCGCATGCGCGCTGCGGCCTGGAGCCCCCCGGTTGGATTTTAAAATCAATTTTTTACCGAAATATTCTTTTTTCAATGTATTTCAGGACGGGAAGCACTGCGGGTTTTAATATTTTCGGCGCGTACAGTGCCACCGGGAGAGCAAAACCCAACTTTTATGTTTTTTTATTTTATTTCTTTTTTTTTAAATTTCTTTTCATTTTTTTCGTTCTTTTTCTCTTTTATTTTTCTTTATTTTATTTTATTTCTTTTCATTTTTCTTTCTTTTTCTTTTATTTTCTTTTTTATTTTTTCTTTATTTTATTTCTTTTCATTTTTCCTTCTTTTTATTTTATTTTCATTTATTTTATTTCTTTTTATTTTATCTTATTTCCTTTTATTTTATTTCTTTTTATTTTTTCTTTTTGTATTTTTTATTTTAAATTATTTCTTTTTCTTTTATTTCTTTTCATTTTTCTTTCTTTTTCTTTTTTTTAAGTTTAATTTTATTTAATTTCATTTCTTTTAATCTTTTCTTTCTTTGTCTTTTATTTTCTTTTTTAATTTATTTATTATATTATAATATATTTTATTTTATTTCTTTTTTATTTTATTTTTATTTTATTTTATTTTATTTTATTTTATTTCTTTTTTACTTTATTTCTTTTCATTTTTTATTTTATTTTATTTCTTTTCATTTTTTCCTTATTTTTCTTTCCTTTCCTTTTCTTTTTCTTTTTTCTTTTTATTTTCTTTTATTTTATCTACTTTATTTAGTTGCTTTTTATTTTATTTCTTTTATTTTATTTTTTCTTTTTATTTTCTGTTTTATTTTATTTTTTATTTTATTTTTCCATTTTTTTAAATTTTCTTTTATTTTTTTTATTTTATTTCTTTTCATTTTTTCTTTCTTTTTCTTTTCTTTTATTTATTTTCATTTTTTCTTTTTATTTTTCCTTTTTATTTTCTTTTTTATTTTTTCTTTTTATTTTTTCTTTCTCTTTATTTTATTTTCTTTTTTTATTTTATTTTATTTATTTTTCTTTTTTTTCTTTTTATTTTTTTTTCTCTTTATTTTCTTTTTTCTTTTCTCTTTTTCATTTTTTCATTTTTTCCTTTTTATTTCCTTTTTTATTTTTCTTTTTATTTTTTCTTTCTCTTTGTTTTATTTTCCTTTTTCTTTTTTTCCTTTTATTTATTTTCATTTTTCTTTTTGATTTTCCCTTTTTATTTATTGTTTATTTTTCTTTTTATTTTTTCTTTTTCTTTATTTTCTTTTTTCTATTTTATTTTATTTATTTTCATTTTTTCCTCTTTATTTTTTCCTTTTTATTTTATTTTTCTTTTTATTTTTTCTTTCTCTTTATTTTATTTTCTTTTTCTTTTTTCTTTCTTTTATTTCTTTTCATTTTTCTTTTTATTTTTTCCTTTTTATTTTTCTTTTTTATTTTCTTTTTTTTATTTTTCTTTTTATTTTTTCTCTTTATTTTATTTTTTTATTTTTTATTTTCTTTCATTTTATTTATTTTAATTTTTCCTTTTTATTTTATTTTTTTAATTTTTCTTTCTCTTTATTTTATTTTCTTTTTTATTTTTCTTTCTTTTCTTTTCTTTCTTTTCATTTTTCTTTTTATTTTTTCCTTTTTATTTCCTTTTTTATTTTTCTTTTTATTTTTTCTTTCTCTTTATTTTATTTTTTTATTTTTTATTGTCTTTCCTTTCATTTATTTTAATTTTTCCTTTTTTCCTTTTTATTTTATTTATTTTTTTTTTTTAAATTTTCTTTCTCTTTATTTTCTTTTCTTTTTTCTATTTTATTTTATTTTATTTATTTTATTTTATTTATTTTCATTTTTTCCTTTTTATTTTTCCTTTTTATTTATTTTTTCTTTATATTTTTTGTTTCTCTTTATTTTATTTTCTTTTTTCTTTTTTCTTTTCTTTGATTTCTTTTCATTTTTCTTTTTATTTTTTCCTTTTTTTTCCTTTTTTATTTTTTCTTTTTATTTTTTCTTTCTCTTTATTTTCTTTTTTTATTTTTTATTTTCTTTCCTTTCATTTATTTTAATTTTTCCTTTTTTCCTTTTTATTTTATTTTTTTTAATTTTTCTTTCTCTTTATTTTCTTTTCTTTTTCTTTTTTCTTTTCTTTTATTTCTTTTCATTTTTCTTTTTATTTTTCGTTTTTATTTCCTTTTTTATTTCCTTTTTTATTTTTCTTTTTTTCTTTCTCTTTATTTTATTTTTTTATTTTTTATTTTCTTTCATTTTATTTATTTTAATTTTTCCTTTTTTCCTTTTTATTTTATTTTTTTTTATCTTTTTAATTTTCCTTTCTCTTTATTTTATTTTCTTTTTTCTATTTTATTTTATTTATTTTCATTTTTTCCTTTTTATTTTTTCTTTTTTATTTTATTTTTTCTTTTTATTTTTTCTTTCTTTTCTTTCTTTTCATTTTTCTTTTTATTTTTCCTTTTTATTTCCTTTTTTCTTTTTCTTTTTATTTTTCTTTCTCTTTATTTTATTTTTTTATTTTTTATTTTCTTTCATTTTATTTATTTTAATTTTTCCTTTTTTCCTTTTTATTTTATTTTTTAATTTTTCTTTCTCTTTATTTTATTTTCTTTTTCTTTTCTCTTTCTTTGATTTCTTTTCATTTTTCTTTTCATTTTTCTTTTTATTTTTCCTTTTTATTTTCCTTTTTTATTTTTCTTTTTATTTTTTCTTTCTCTTTATTTTATTCTTTATTTTTTATTTTCTTTCCTTTCATTTATTTTAATTTTTCCTTTTTTCCTTTTTATTTTATTTTTTATTTTTTTTAATTTTTCTTCCTCTTTATTTTATTTTCTTTTTTCTATTTTATTTTATTTTATTTTATTTTATTTTATTTTATTTTTTCTATTTTATTTATTTTATTTTATTTTATTTATTTCATTTTATTTTATTTTATTTTATATTATTTTATTTTATTTTATATTATTTTATTTTATTTTTTTATTTTCTTTATTTTATTTTATTTTATTTTATTTTATTTTATTTTATTTTATTTTATTTTATTTTAATTTAATTTAATTTAATTTATTTTATTTATTTCCCTTCATTTTTCCTTTAATTTATTTCCATTCCCCCTTTTTCCCCCCTTCCCGAACCCCCCCAAATTCCAAGGAATCCCCGCCCTGGCCCCGCCCCTTTTTATCCCGATTTCCCTCTAAACATTAACCCCGGAACCTCCTCCCGATTTTCCCCGGCCATTCCCAGATTTCCAGGCTCCCGACCCTCATTCCCAAACTTGGGATGAAGCCCCAGGTACGTCCCGACCCCCCGGAGCTCATCCCGAACTTTTCCCGGAAAAAAAAAACCGGGAATGCCGCTGGATCCTTAAAAATCCTTTCATCCCAAAAAATCCCCAAAATCCGGGATAAATCCGGGATAAATCCCAGGGATGGGGGGGGAGAAAATTCCAGAGGGAGCTTCCGAGCCCGTCGGCATTCCCGAAATCCCGGAATTCCAGGGAAAAGGAGGGAGGGGGAAAAGCCCCTTCCTGGTTTTTCCGGGAGGGGGCGTGGCCAAAGGGGGGGCGTGGCCAAGGGATTCCCGGGATCGCCCTTTTCCCAGGGTTTGGAATCGCCCGGAATTCCAGGGTTTGGGGGCTGGGAATTCCAGGGTTTGGGATCCGGGAATGGTTTGGAATCCCGGAATTCCGGGGTTTGGAGTCTGGGAATTCCAGGGCTTGGAATCTGGGAATTCCAGGGTTTGGAATCCCAGAATTCCAGGGTTTGGAATCTGGGAATTCCAGGGTTTGGAATCTGGGAATTCCAAGGTTTGGAATCCCAGAATTCCAGGGTTTGGGATCAGGGAATTCCAAGGTTTGGAATCTGGGAATTCCAGGGTTTGGGATCAGGGAATTCCAGGGTTTGGGATCTGGGAATGGTTTGGAATCTGGGAATTCCGGGGTTTGGANGGTTTGGAATCTGGGAATTCCAGGGTTTGGGATCAGGGAATTCCAGGGTTTGGGATCTGGGAATGGTTTGGAATCTGGGAATTCCGGGGTTTGGAATCTGGGAATTCCAGGGTTTGGGATCCAAGAATTCCAGGGTTTGGGATCTGGGAATTCCAGGGTTTGGAGTCTGGGAATTCCAGGGTTTGGGATCTGGGAATTCCAGGGTTTGTTCCGGGGTTTGGAATCTGGGAATTCCAGGGTTTGGGATCTGGGAATTCCGGGGTTTGGAGTCTGGGAATTCCAGGGTTTGGGATCTGGGAATTCCAAGGTTTGGAATACGAGAATTCCAAGGTTTGGGATCCAAGAATTCCAGGGTTTGGGATCTGGGAATTCCAGGGTTTGGAGTCTGGGAATTCCAAGATTTGGGATCTGGGAATTCCAGGGTTTGGAGTCTGGGAATTCCGGGGTTTGGAGGCTGGGAATTCCGGGGTTTGGGATCTGGGAATGGTTTGGAATCTGGGAATTCCGGGGTTTGGGATCTGGGAATTCCAGGGCTTGGAATCTGGGAATTCTATGGTTTGGGATCCGGGAATTCCAGGGTTTGGAATCCCAGAATTCCGTGGTTTGGGATCTGGGAATTCCAAGGTTTGGAATACAAGAATTCCAAGGTTTGGGATCCGGGAATTCCAGGGATTTGGGATCCGGGAATTCCAGGGATTTGGAATCCGGGAATTCCAGGGTTTGGGATCTGGGAATTCCAGGGTTTGGAGTCTGGGAATTCCAAGGTTTGGGATCTGGGAATTCCGGGATTTGGAATCTGGGAATTCCAGGGTTTGGGATCCGGGAATTCCAGGGTTTGGGATCCAAGAATTCCAGGGTTTGGAATCCCGGGAATTCTATGGTTTGGAGTCTGGGAATTCCAAGGTTTGGGATCCAAGAATTCCAAGGTTTGGGATCTGGGAATGGTTTTAGGAATCCGGGAATTCCAGGGCTTGGGAATCCCCGGAGCAACTCCCCCCCAAAAAAAAACCGGAAAAACCCCCGGAAAAATCCCGGAAAAACGGGATTCCGGGCAGCCAAAAAAACCCGGGAACGCTCCTAAAAATCCCACAACATTCCCGATTCCTCCCGAGCTTAAAATTCCTTCGGAATTCCTCCCCAGCTGCCCGGGATGGAGGAAGAATTCCATCAAAATTCCACGGAGCTGCTCCGGCTGCGGCGGGAAAACCAAAAGCTCCGGATCCAGGTAAACACCGGGAATTTTTTTCCCACTTTTTCCTAAGGAAAGGCTTCGATCCCGGTTGTTTTTTTTTTTCGGATTCCCAGCTGGAAGCGGCGCGGGAAGCCGGGATGGGAGCGCTCCGGGAACTTCCCGGGAAGCTGGCCGGGATTTTCGGGA